ATGTCACAAATTCTCCTAAATCACTCGTACGCACAACTTAACAACAAATCTGTGTACCAACGGTTCTTACATGAGGCCCATTCTATGTTGGGAATGTGTTTGCCATTAAATATAAATGTATGTATATATGTAAGTATATAAATTTATTATTATCATGTTCCACTCATAAAATTTACTGAGTAATTTTCAGTGAGGCTATAATTATTATTATACACATATTTATGTTGTTGCAGTGTTTTTGTTTTCTGTCTTGTTGCAGGGGTAGAGGTAAATGTGTTGTCTTGTGTTTTCTTAATGCATCTCTCATATCTTCTTGTTTCTTTTTCAATCTCTTTTTTCATCATGATGAAATGTCATTATGTTGCACTTGTGAAAGTACAACTGTCGGGCTTCATTCAGACATTCAGACATCATTTCTGAGTTTTACATTGCCAGACAGGACATGGTGAAAAAAAAAAAGAAACCTAAGAATCTTTGCTAAAATCTCATGGAAACTATATTTACATTCAAACACAGTTCAAACGACAGGCAGCTGAATCAGAAAGTAAACAAACTGTACAAAATGGGATTGATTCAAATCTATAAAAACATTTTAACAAATCTCTGTAAAGGAAATCTGACTTAAAAACTTCAGATTTGTTAACATTAATTAATGGAACCATCATGGTCTGTCCTGTGCAGAATGACCAAACACTAAATTATTTCTTTATTAAAACCTCTGTAACTTTGCTCCAGTTAATGTTAGCAGCATGAATCTTTGTACAGGTGATGTCCACAGGTGGATTTATGGTTTCAAGAGTTTTTAACCTGATTCATTATGGTTTTAAATGGGTTGTATACTGTCTAATGCAAACATTATTCACATGGGATGGACATGAACGTAATGAAAAATATGTTCCATCCCCAATATCTCTAAAACAAGTGCAGCTGTTTTAATAATTACACTGTTAGCTTTATTTTGATACCAAGATTATTGCAGTAGAGTTTGTAAATGCTGAGACAGTTAGCATGGTGTTTTGAGCAGAAACATCAAGAAAAGCCTTGTGGCTGAAGAGGTTAGAGGATTACATGAAAGTCTGTGTCAGAAGGAAAATATAAAGAAGAGGTTTGGATCTGAAGGTGACAAAGTACCGATCAGCAGACTGGATCAAACCCTCAGACTGACCTGGGATCTGTTGGTTCTTTCTGTCATCTCCAGGTCCAGAGCAGGATTCAGCCTGGTGTTGGAGTCTTGTTGCATCCTGGCTCATCTGTCCAGTCCAAACCAGCTCAGAACTCCAGCGGTGACCCTGTCAGAACTCTGACAGCGGTGAATGCTGGTAAACTTGCTTCATGAAGCAGACTGGAAACAGATGATGGACTTCCTGAATCTTCTTCAGCTGTGTCCACTGGTTCCAGACCGAAGTCTACTGTATGAACTGTCTCTGACCACTGTCAGCTCCACTTCCTGACTCTGCAGTTCCACCCTGACCTGCCCATATGTTGTTTTACTGTAGGAAACATAAACTCAGAGGAGTCAAGTGATGCAGATCACACTGCTGTCTGCTCAAAGGTTTGTCTTATCAGTGGGTGGAGGTGGAACTGTCCTGCTCAAAGTCCACCGTTTGGTCTCAGTTTATGACAAAATGACAGAAATATAAGGAGTCAAAACAAAACTGGTTTTTATCATCAGAAGTATTTTTGATTCCTGTCTGACCCAAAGACAACCGTCAGATTTTCTTTGTCTGGGTGGGCTGTGGAGGCAGCAGGTTACCTGCCTGGTCCTTTTCTTCCTGCTCAGTTCAGCTGTTCCAGTTTCCCTTCACTGCTCTGACTGGGATTTCTCCAGCAGGATTCCAACCGGACCAATCAGCTAACAGGAGGAGGAGACTTGGATTCCTCATCTTGACAGAAACTCATTTCCGACCTGGAGATTACAGACGTGTTGTGGCCTCAGGCCTCACAGCACCTTCTCACTTCACTGTGAACGGGCTCAGTGCTGAACGCACCAACAGAACCTGAGGTTCTAAAACCAGGGTGTCTGCTGTGAGATCCTGTCCAGAAACAGAGTCAGAGACCAGGGACAGACCTGGTGGCTCTGAAAAGGTGATAAGGTTTTTTAATAAAGTGTTATTTGAGTTCATTGTTTGTRRCAAATAAAGACTTAAAGTGCGTGACATGTATTATGCAACGTGGCTGTGTCAACAGAAAATGTAATGTGCAAGCAAGCAGAACTGGAAGGAGCTGGTAAGAAC